ATGCCAGCTTTCAAGGCCCTGAAAAAGCAAAACAATGAGTGATGAAACCAGAATAGAATGACTCCTGGAAGTGAAGGCAGAACACTGCGGCTTACTGACCGTTTGATGCCTTTGACAGCTGCGTCACTGAAGCGTCTGACATCATCATAGTCGCGGTTCACAGGGCCGGTGGAGGCAAATATCAAACGGTCACCAGGAAGACTGGGAACCTTGATCAGAACCACCTCATCGCCCAAACCGCTGTCCACCTGAAGCAGAGGGGGTAGTAACTAGTTACGTTTACTTAGGTAAAAAAAATAAATACTCTAGTAGGAGTAGTTTTACAACACTAAATTTTGACCTTTTTTTGGGTAAAAATATGATAAAATAACACTACTCTTGAGTAAAACTTCTGGCAACGCCATCCATTGTGAGTAACTTCACTTAATGAAAACAAGATTCTTTTAAACATATTGAGAGACACACTTTCTTTATCTTTTTCATTTTTGCACTGAGGGCTTACTGGTTAAATGCCTGAGGTTGAGTGACAAGGCAGTTCACTGTATTTTTACCTATTCTGCAACTATTGAGTTTGTAAGTTTTAAAACAAAAACAAAAATTATTTTGAAAATCTACATATTTATTTTGTAATTCTTGCATGCAAAATGTTTTTTGTTTTTTTTATATTTGTCTTTGCAACAGCAGAAGTTGCCTATTTGAGTCACCATCTTACCAAATATTTAAGTAACGGGGAAAAAGTAATTCATTTAAAGGCTACTTGTACCCGAGTAAAAATATGATGTAGTTCCAAGTATAATTTTTGAGTACTTTACCCATCTCTGACCTGAAGGTGCATTATGTCCGCTAAGACCATCGGAATGAACTGCAATTGTCAAATGCATTTATCCCTCGAATAGTTTCCAAATCAGTAATTTCCGTGTCTGCACATGCCACAAACTCCAATTTGAGATGTTTATGACGTTTATGAATTACATGAAAGATACATACATAAACGGAGGGATACGGCACATTTCCCTGCTAATGTTAGTAAAATGCCAAGATATTGGACATGATCCAAAAGAGACATTCATTATTTGCGCAACTTAGCTAAACTTAAAAAAAATCCATTTGGATGACGTCCTATGTCAAGCTTTATTTAAGTGCAAGACAACACTTTACAAATGTTAAGAAAAAAATGTCTGCACAATGAAAGTAACACAAGGATTATTATTGTGTTGTCTTCTTACAGTCCTGTTTAGTGGCAGATAACCCCTATATGATGCTAAAGGTCCATGCTAGAGATCACCGTAGGTTGCAGATGAAATGATTTCCAGGAACACCTCATTGTGTCTGCTTATGTAAAAGCCAGGGGTGACCACTAATGACAGATGCGATTACAGTCCAGTCACTTTAGAAATTACCTGTCCTGATAAAGTCAACTGGTCTACAGCTGCTTCTATTACCCCATTTACACTACCCTTGAAAAACCGATCCATGCCGAGACCGGTCCGAGCTCGGATCAGTTAACCAGGCCGAGTTTGGTTCTGACGACAGTTTACACATCACGATATCTCGGTTCCTTGACTCCTCGCCTCCTAGTGGTGATCTGGAAGGAAGGAGGAAATCAAGCAGTTGTTGGCGGTAATGAACCAACAACGGAGATGACGTGCTCTGCTCATGCGCTCTTGTTATCAGAGAACCGAGCCAGGGAAAAACCAAGCCCAGCCCACCTCTGGAACTGGTCTGCAGTTAGAGCGGTCTGGTTGTGTCTAGCTCGGTTCAGTTCAGTTTTCTTTCCATTTACACACGAGAAGTTATCTCAGTTACTGAGCTCGGCACGGTTTTTCAAGGGTAGTGTAATTGGGGTATAAGTAACTTAATGTTTCAACTCTAAATCATTTGAGGATATCTGACACACCAATACAGTGAGCCATTTCAGCAGTTTTAACAGCGTCTGTTTTTAGTTGCTTTTATTGTAATACATCAACATAAAAAAAAAAAAATGTTAGAAGTGAAATTCTCAGCAAATTGATCTAATTATAATTCAATCTTAGTGCAAGTACAGCATTTCTGTAAAGACTTAAAGGCAATATTATGATGGTGGTGGCAGCGTCACTGTGTGGGCTATTATTTAGCTGAAAAAGTTGAGCTGTCTGAGGTTTTGTGAAGGTTTATGAAGACTAGAAAAGACTCGACACTATACAGAGCCAGGGCCACGGTGGAAAGGCTTATATGGAGGTATATTCTGTCAGAGATCACACTTATAGAAAATTCCTCAAGATGGTCTCAATCTGATACAAATAACACAAAATGCAAATACCTGGAGGGGGATGTGTTACATTAAAAATTCATAACATCTGTTAAACCTCCATAAGGATGTGGCACCTCCACTTCATAATCTAATCTAAGTGTTGCAATTGCAGAAACGTACAGAACTGTAATCCTGCAGTGGGGCTTTCAGGAATTCCAGCTCAGCAGGCAGAGTGTCATGGCTCTGGGTGACTAAGACGATGCCATCAAAACTAGAAAAACAAAAGAGAGCATGCATCCGATTAAAACAGACCGATTAAGAGAAGCAGAATGCTTCCTGGTACTCACTTCTGATCTTTGAGGTCATTGGTCCACTCTGTGGGCTGGACGCTGGACAGACAAACAGAATTGAGTAAGACATCAGAGACTGAGTAAGGCAACAAGTGAATGTGTTAATGATAACAGTGAGAGGGAAAACCTGTAGGACCTTTGACAAAAAAAAAAAAAATGCAGGAGATAAGATTCTAATGACTGTCGGGATTTTCACACCAATTTGTTGTTTTGCAAACTGCAGGGGAGGATAAGATGCAAATCCCTGCACCTAGAGGTTATTTTACGACGAAAATCACTTCATTTTGTTGAGAATTATGACTTTAAATTTAATGACTAAAATTATTTGTATCAGAAAGTTATGTCATCATAGCAGACAAAGGGAAACTAAAATTCATGCATGCAGACGTGGAGCCTTTTGATAGAAATGAAATCCAAACAAGTGTAAATCCTAAAAGATGTTAAAGATCATAAACTAAGATAAACAAGTTTAAAGAAAGTGAAATATGTGGTTTATTAAAGTTAGTTTTCCTTTTCATATTCCACTACCTAAAAGAACATCACTGTCAACACAAAACAGAAATTAAACGGCAGAAACAATCCAACAATCCTTCTGTCCACATTGAATCCAATGTGATGGATGCCATTCCAGCAGTGTGAACAAAAGCCTCTCTAATTGTGACCCTTTAGGCTTTATTTGCACATGGCTGAAAACAGCTGGCTATTAGTACTGCTACTGGAAGAGGGCCTGCTTTCATCACAGCAAGAATAAGGGTTGATTTTATCCTCAAACCTGCTGCCATACCCTGGGTGTTTGCTCCTTACTGCTAACCGTGTCCAAAGTTGACCAAACCAAGTCCTATTGTCATTTCTTAACACATAAAATGTACAATCACCTCATTTTGCAGTCCACTTTAAATCTGCTGACAAATCGTGTTTCCTGCCAACAGCAGCCCAAAGGTTCTGGTTATCATATGACTTAGAGGAAGGGAAACTAAAACTGTTATTCATGCAGATTTAGAGCCTTTGGATGTAAAATGAGCCAAAATGTGCAATAAACCCCAGAATAGACTATAAGGGTTAGGTTTCCTCTAAAGATAAATGTTGCAACAGGTGATCTGGTAATATCAGGAAAAAACTAATTAATGTGTAAAGAACAAGTTAAAAGAATGAAAATCTGTGGGGAAAGAAATGAGAACAAAAAGCTTCTGGAGCTCTAACGTTGCTGCTTCATGCAAATAAAGCGGATATAACGGAAACCTGCGAGACAGGAACCATTTTATCCTGGAGAGGAAAACAAGTTAGAGAAACAGCAAACCTTCCGTCTCACCTGGAGCACATTGCTGCTGTCTTCCTTCAGTCTTCGAGGGCGAAGCAGGCAGCAAGCAGCAAGCAGCCGGTACATATAGCTGCTTTGCCGAGCTCCTTCATCATGTGACCAGTGCTGCCTTCACGGACTCAAACAAGGAAGAGAGGAAAAACTTCATCTTAAACGTCTATTCTATCATAGAATTTAAGTTATCCCAGTTGAAAATGTAATCAAATTACAATAAATTAAAAGCTGCTTTGTTTTTTAAACACAATATTTTTCCTAAATACTTTAGGAAAAAAAAAATGTTAGTTACTAACTTCCGTCTATACGTCACTGCCCGTTATACAGTTTGTAGGGAAATGTAGTTTTGGTAACTGTCTTAATAAATGAACACAATAGATTTCAAATGTTAAAAAACAACCAAACTAAATTCATATTTATCAAACGTAGGAATAAAAACATTAAAGCACCAAGAAATCTTCATTTAAAACAGATGTTTTTCAGTTTAGACCGAGCTGACTACAAACCCTGACTGGTGCTCTGTCAGGCCAACATACCCATAATTAATACGCATGCGCAAGAAGTTAGATTCTTCTTCTTCTTTTGTATTACGGCTGCTCGCAAGCAACTTTAAGGTGCCTACCCCCACCTACTGTACATGAGTGTGTAGCAACATTACTTTACATCAAATGCTATTTTTTTATTTTGTACTCTGTAGATAAATAAATAATGCTTTCCTTATTCTGTGAATATCCTTTATATTTCCTTCATTTCCCAGTATTCCTTTAGGATTCTTTGCTTGTCCTTCCAACCATCCTTCTCCATTTCTCCCTTTCATGTTCATAAGTTTTACAGTTCATCAGTACATGTTCTACATTTTCTTTTTCTCCACATTCTTCACATTTATTATTATTTTTTTCCTCCCTGTTAAATATACATTGTCATTTAAATACATATGACCCATTCTTAATCTGATCATTATTACTTCTTCCCTTCTGTTAATCCCTTAAAATTCACTTTAAACTACCTCGACGGGCGTGTAGGTAGTTTAAAGTGTATTTTTGGTACAAAACTAAAGGGATAAACAGGGATTGACTATGGGTATGCTGGTCTGACGGGGGTATGTTGATCTGACAGAACACCGGAAGTAGTTAACGGTTGTGTTTCCTCGGTAAAACGGCGAAAGTGAGTATTTATTGGCTGCAAACAGTCCAAAGGGCACAGTCCCCAGCCTGGCTGCTCTAATCATTCCTACTAATCGGGGATTATAAGTACTGGTTCAGCAGGTAGGCAGTTGGGAAGCTTTGTGTTATTGATTCATTTCACCAAATATTAGGAATTTTTACTTGACAAAAATGTTATGACACGTAGTTTATACCTAACTGACTCGTTCTTACATCCCTTTTTTTTTTCTCCACACGTTGTTTACAAAGTCCCCAGGTTTTAGCTCCTGGTTGTTTATTCGGGCTGCTGACTTTGGAGTAAAACCAGTTTTCATTGCTAAGTAGGTCAACCTAGTAGAGACTGAATGCATGCAAACAAAGATCAATTTAGACTTAGACAACTTTTATTGTCACTTTGTTTACACAAAATGTATACAAAACGAAATTTTACTATTTTGTACTATTTTACTAAATAGTACAGCTTTCATGACAGTTTCATTCCATAAAAGTGCAGCATTGATCAAATGTAAACAGAGTGGGAGAAAAAACATGGTGCAAAAAACACATTGATATGAAAGATTCAGAGCATTAAATCTATATGGTGCAATTCTGCAGTGTTTTGGTTTGGTGTTATCAGTGTGATGCAGAGTTTGTGACATGATTTTTTCAGCTGTTTGGTGGCGGGGCTGGGGGGCTGCAGCAGATGCTGTGAAGCTCTGCTCTTCAAAGAGGGCAGCAGGGAGAACAGTCCATGGTGGGGGTGTGAGGGGTCATTGATGATGTTATGGGCAGCGCTGGGATGAAATGTCTTTAATGGAGGGACGAGGAGCCGCGATGATCTTCTCTGCTGTTCTCACCACTCTCCTCACCTCATTCTAGTCTGAGGCGCTACAGCCTCCACACCACACATGAGACAGCAGGTCAGAACGCTCTCTATGGTGCTTCTGCAGAAGGTGGTGAGGATGGGTGGAGGCAGGTGGGCTCTCTTCATCCTCTGCCAGGAATAAAAGCACTTTTGTGCCCTTTGACCAGTGAGGTGGTGTTTACAGTCCAGGTGAGGTTGTCTGTGATGTGCACCCCCAGGAATTTTAAAGCCTTTAAAACAGATTGTCTTGGATTTGGGTCTGGACTTTGACTAGGCCATTCCAACAAGAGAAAAAAAGTTCAAATTTTGGGTATTCAAAAATGTAACCTTTGAGTTTACATACCTACGCAGATTCTCAGTCCTGTTTTTAAGTCGTATTGCCTTTCATCCAAGAGGCTTCCTCAGTTCTAACTAGTGGTAGGGAGCACTGAGATTAATACAAGCCTTATTTGGACAACTCTAATCACTATTATTTAAACTGCTCAGGTCTGAAGGATTTTGCAGCCCTGAACAGGTTATCTCTAAGGTAGGTTGGTGACCTGAAAAGCACCCATAGATCAGGATTTTGTCAGCATCATGGGGCTGATGATGTTGTATTTAAGGTGATGTAAGAATATGGAATGATTGACCAGTGTCTGGCAGTTGTGGCTGTTTATATGTAGTTTTTTTTTTCTTTCTTTCTGTCTTTTCTATCAATAGATGAGACTGCCTCTCCGTTCCTGTATCTTCTTCAGAAGTTTTATTGCCCAGAAACAAACAGCGGATGCACAGAAGAGAGGCTTAAGTGGTGCTGGGATGCGTTTGGTTCAGTTTCGTCACAGCGGGGAGGGCGATTGTGTCAGAGTTGGAGTGGAGCAAAGTGATGGGCAAGGTGTTGTTGATCTGAAGGCGTTTGACCCTTCAATGCCTTCAACTGTGAGAGAGCTTCTGCAGCTGGGAGATAAAGGCCTGGAGTTTGCTCAAAGGTTTGGATTTTTTTATTTTACAGATTTAAAAAAATAATAAAAATCAATTCTTCTTTTTGCTAGGATCCTTCTTATAAGAAACCTTTTAAAAATCTCTTCACCTATTATTCATTTTCTGTGAAAGTCTCTAAATAAGACCCCCTCCTCCTCAGAGCATTGGCATCTGGTCAGTGTGTGGTCGACAGAGCAAACATCCAGCTTTTACCCCCGATTTTGGCCCCAGAGAAAGTAGTGTGTGTTGGCATGAACTATCGGGACCACTGTCTGGAGCAGAATGCGCCCATCCCTAAAGAACCAATCATCTTCAGCAAGTTTCCCAGTGCCCTCACAGGACCATATGATGACATTATTCTGCCTCCAGAGAGCCAGGTAAAAAAAAGATAGCCTCAATACTGAAAGGACTCTTTGAAACCAGTGAATGTTGCAAAAGCAGCACACTATGGGACTCTGTTATCTCTTATATCAATAGAATTGATCAGGACTGACAGATGAGCAAAGAGGCATTGATGGAACAACCTATAATCGCTGCCTTAGCATCTGAAGGCAGCATATAATTCAGACCTAACAATTTGCAACCACAAAACACATCTTACAATTAAATCTTATATTTTAAAGCACTAAAACCTAAAAATCCTTGGAATTATTAATCTTAAATCTAAATCCTAATCAGTTTTGCTATTTTTTGTTAAGTTAGTAAAAGTGGTGACTTGTAATGCAGACGATGACTCCCTTTGGTTGGATAGATGCCTCACTGATTGGCTGCATGGTGCAGGCATTCTTACATTTCCAAAGATCCTCTATGCCAAGGTAGTTCTTATAACAAGCGAAAAAGGTTTTTTCCGTTTGATGTAGGATATGAAATTGTTTTGAACCTTTGCTTTAAAAGCAAAAAAGCCAACACAGAGGGGGGAGGATAAATCTGTTTATATCAGTTTATGATTGCCGTAGTGGAACTATCGGTTGCAAAGATTTCATGACAGATAACCCTTGTGGAGTTCTACTGTGGCTTTCTTTGTTTCACTTTGACTATTGGTTTTGTGATTTGTTTTTTTCTCAGTGTCTGAACTAAATAAATAAATAAATAATTTCAAGGTTCCACTTTCCTTAACCTCACTGTTCCCACACTGTAATGATGCGAGGTAGAGTTAGAATATTCCAGCTTAAAGATGAAGTGGCTCTTTTAGCAGCTAATCTACACAGGGCAGCAGTCTCTCTTTATGAGCTAATATCCAAGTCGTGTGAATCTAGTTTTTGGCCGTAAGAGGTCCCCGACTTAGTTCAGCTTTTAGAAGTAGTGCGATATGCGGCGTTGTAAAATGGGCGGCAGCCAGATGGGAGAGGCTGCTTTCTCTTTAAGGGCAAGTGTTTTTTTCGGGATTGAAAAAAACTGATTAATCATGGTACATGGTATCATGGTGCATGGTACTTTAAATGTGTTATTCTACCAAATATTACGCCCTAACAGTCCTTTCTGGTTGTGTTATTGCGAAGGCGAAAAGACACTATTGCCAGCTTTAATTTACACCATTGAAAAAGAAAAAGTTGTAGAAATAATTATATGAACTCTTAATGCTTTGCAATAAACCTTGTCAACAAAAAAAAAAACCTTTTGCCAAAATCTAAAAAAAAAATCAGAATAGTTTTTTTAATCTGTCAGTTATAAAAAGGAGCATAAATTGAATATTCTGCCCAGGAAAAACAATATATGTATATATCAATGGGGATGTCTCATTGAATGCTAGGGAGGCTAAACCTACCCTGTAAATTTTCTAAAATTCTAGGTCAAATATGCATTGTCAAACTTCATAGATGTAGTCATTAAACTCCACTAAATATGTGCCTATATTGCGGAGTATGTTGCGCTCTCGGATGTGATCTCCTTCACTGTGGAGCAGCTGAACGCTGGTGGTCAGCCTCTATGAGAAATCCCTGTGAGGTTTGTCTTGGTCTATTGAGGTAAGCAGCAAGAAAGTTGAGCCTTGATTGGATAACATGCAAAAATAAAGTCACCTCCAGGGAGGTTAACCTCTTAGAGGGTCTATGGAGCAGGGCTGGGTCATGAAGCTGGCTGCTAGATGCCATTTGACAAACATACTCAGGTGGCCAGAGAGCAGAGAGTCCAGCAGAAAAAGTGATCATTCAGGGAAAAAATACATCCCTGTGCTGAACTCTTGCCCTCATTTCAGGAGTTTATTATTTCAGATCGCTTCACAACAGCTATTTTCACCTGTGGTAGTGTTGTGTTTGAATATATGTTAATGCACTACATGACGTTTGGATTTAATCAACACCATTGAGCCTCCTCTGTTTCGGCAGCAGCAGCTGCCACTCATATATATATATATATATATATATATATATATATATATATATATATATATATATAGTTAAAATGAAGGCCACTAGATGGCACTGTGGTATAAGATCTGATTGCTAACTTCTTGCTTTATTTCCTAATAAATGGCAGAATTTTAACTTGCAAGCAAAACAAGTGCACCTTGCATAGGAGAGGGAAATCATGTCTTATATGAAATGTAAATAATACAAATTACCTTCATCTGTGTAACAGCTGTAAACTTTCACTTTGATAGAATAAATAAAATTGAGATTTTTTTTATATTCACCCATCTCCCTAAAACCGATGATGTTACAAAAAGATGTTATATGGTGCTCTAAATTTAAAATCTCAGCATGCTCTATGAAGCATCTTTTTTGTTTTGCTGATCAAAGGTGCAATGCTCTGAACTTCCATATTAATGCCCACAATGTTTACATTTGATCACCGCTGCACTTTAAGAAATGGAAATGTTATGAAAGCTGTACAAAAGGAAAAAGCGTTTTGCATACTGTCTGTGTGCAAAATGACAATAAAAGTTGTCTAAGTAAGGCTGTCATAGCCGGCCTGTAAATCCCGTGGATGTTCTAGTTCTCCTCACAGCGATAAATTCTCAGAAGGAAAATCTAGAACCCTCCCTCACAACTTTGATAAGATCAGATTGAAGAGGTTGTCACCGTGTTCCTGATAGTTTTTGTATTTTAGCAGTAAGAGACATCAAACTGAATGGATGCTACTATCTTTCAGACTGCTGTCCTCAGCTGGGAGACTAATCTCCCGTTGGCTGATTATAGATTCCCTTTCACTGAAATGGTGGGAGCAGCTGGCTTGTTCTCCAGTTATCGGACTCTTTCTGCAGTTAGAGTGCAGCTCTGTGGTTTACATGCAGTCATGGGTGGAGATTGCTGATCACACTTTTGAACAGTTTGTCCAAAAACAGGTTTAAATTAATTGGGGATTTTCTGTAAACCAAAGGGGATTAAAACTGTCCATACAGGTTTAGTTTTATACATGCCTCCAAAGTCTCAGCTATGTGTTGGTAAATTCAGGCCGATACTCAACTACTTGGTTGAACTGGTAGAACCTACCAATCAAAGCCTTTGTCCCAGTCCATCCGTGGAGGCTTACTTAAAGGTCATCTGAGCCTCAGCAGCCTCAAACAGAAAGAACCTGATGGATGCATATTTTAAAAGATGAACTGTCTCCCTGTGTTACTTGGGATTATGCCCTGGTAGAAATGATGACTCTGATGCTCACCTATTTATCTGCAGTCTGAAGTTTAACAACTGCCTCAAGAACAAAAAATCACCAGATGAGAAGATTCTTTAAGAAAAATGAACAAACCATCCAGTAACTTCTACTCAAAACAAGACTTGGCTGTGGACGAATGGATTAAACTATTAATTGTTTGGAAGAAAGAGAGGTCAATATCCTGGTATTATTGCTAATGACAGACTGAAATAAGGCAAAGGTATGAGCAAGCCTTTTTTTCTGATCAGCAAAGATCTGCAGCTCCATTTTGAACTTAAACCCCAACACTTTGATCGCCTAACTTTTGTAATTTTACTTAAAACAATATAGATCTGTGTCCCAAATGTATTTCCTATTATAAAAGTTGGAGAATGGCTAAATAAGAGCAATTGGATTCTATCACAGCCTGATAGAGACATGTGCCCTGAGCCGCCTCAGGATGCAGTATTTCTGTATTGTTGAGGATAAACAGCAGGAGGAGCAGGAGGCGTGTGGGCTCAGCCTCTGCTTTTCATTCTCCTAGCTCTCTCTGCAGATATCTGCCCATGGCTATTAAATACTACCTGAATGGTTTTATTTACATATTTTTGGACTTACAGCCATCCTTCCACAAAGCTGTCATGTTTTCAGTCAGGATTCATTCCTTATTACTCTGACAGGAGAGGAGATAAGTGTTGTTTTCTTTCTTACACATAAAGTCCTGCCTGAGCTTTTTTAATCCACATCAGAAAAGCATCTAGTTGTGATTCTCATTAAAATCAAGATGACTGCCTGGAGCTTTAAGTGCAGTGAAACCTGATAACGTTAAGAGTATAGATATTTCTAAATATTTGATATACCTATGATCTGTTCTTTCATTTCACAGAATAATTCCCATTGAAGATTCTGTTAACAGTCTTAATTGGCAGACAATTCAAAGGGACACATCTAAATTAAACCATCTGTGGTAAACTCTAAGAGATTTGTTTAGTTTTTCCACTCATGACCAGACATTGGTGGGTTGTGATATCATGTAGTCAGTCACATAATATTTTTTATTTAAACCCAGACCATTGGATATAACAATCCAAGATCCCAGGTCTGACCTCTGTGGCTGAATGAGACATCAGGACCTACCTTGTTCTGCCCCATAGAGCCTTAAACTACCCTAACTAGTTTACTGTGGAAAAATAATCTACAGAGAGGTGTTTAATGGTGCATCTCTTTCTGAATAAAGCCGGTGATTTTAATAATACTATAAAAAGACCTCAAAAGATAAATAAAAAGATAGAACAAATCAATAGATATAACTTTTGACCTGATTTTCTCTGGAAAGAGGAAAAAAACTGTTAATGTTATACAGGTGCTGGTCATAAAATTAGAATATCATGAAAAAGTAGATTGATTTCAGTAATTCCATTTAAAAAGTGAAACTTGTATATTATATTCATACATTACATACAAACTCATATATTTCAGATGTTTATTTTGTTTAATTTTGATGATTACAAATGACAACAAATGAAAATCTCAAATTCATCATATCAGAAAATTAGAATATTGTGAAAAGGTTCAAAATTGATGGCCCCTGGTGCCACACTCTAATCAGCTAATTAACTCAAACCACCTGCAAAAGCCTTTAAATGGTCTTTCAGTCTAGTTCTATAGGCTACACAATCATGGGGAAGACTGCTGACTTGACAGTTGTCCAAAAGACGACCATCAACACCTTGCACAAGGAGGGCAAGACACAAAAGGTCATCGCTAAAGAGGCTGGCTGTTCACAGAGCTCAGTGTCCAAGCACATTAATAGAGAGGCGAAGGGAAGGAAAAGATGTGGTCGAAAAAAGTGTACAAGCAAGAGAGATAACCGCACCCTGGAGAGGATTGTGAAACAAAACCCATTCAAAAATGTGGGGGAGATTCACAAAGAGTGGACTGCAGCTGGAGTGAGTGCTTCAAGAACCACCACACACAGACGTATGAAAGACATGGGTTTCTGCTGTCGCATTCCTTGTGTCAAGCCACTCTTGAACCACAGACAGCGTCAGAAGCGTCTTGCCTGGGCTAAAGAGAAACAGGACTGGACTGCTGGTGAGTGGTCCAAAGTCATGTTCTCTGATGAAAGTAAATTTTGCATTTCCTTTGGAAATCAAGGTCCCAGAGTCTGGAGGAAAAGAAGAGAGGCACTTCATCCACGTTGCTTGAAGTCCAGTGTAAAGTTTCCACAGTCAGTGATGGTTTGGGGTGCCATGTCATCTGCTGGTGTTGGTCCATTGTGTTTTCTGAGGTCCAGGGTCAACGCAGCCACATACCAGGAAGTTTTAGAGCACTTCATGCTTCCTGCAGCTGACCAACTTTTCGGAGATGCAGATTTCATTTTCCAACAGGACTTGGCACCTGCACACAGTGCCAAAGCTACCAGTACCTGGTTGAAGGACCATGGTATCCCTGTTCTTAATTGGCCAGCAAACTCTCCTGACCTTAACCCCATAGAAAATCTATGGGGTATTGTGAAGAAGAAGATGCAATACACCAGACCCAACAATTCAGAAGAGCTAAAAGCCACTATTAGAGCAACCTGGGCTATCATAACACCTGAGCAGTGCCACAGACTGATCGACTCCATGCCACGCCGCATTGCTGCAGTAATACAGGCCAAAGGAGGCCCAACTAAATACTGAGTGCTGTACATGCTCATACTTTTCATGTTCATACTTTTCAGTTGGCCAACATTTCTATAAATCCTTTGTTTTTATTGGTCTTCAGTAATATTCTAATTTTCTGATATGATGAATTTGAGATTTTCATTTGTTGTCATTTGTAATCATCAAAATTAAACAAAATAAACATCTGAAATATATGAGTTTGTATGTAATGTATGAATATAATATACAAGTTTCACTTTTTAAATGGGATTACTGAAATCAATCTACTTTTTCATGATATTCTAATTTTATGACCAGCACCTGTATGTTCTTCTGTTGTCAGACAAGTTTGTCTAAAACATACCTGATGTTATTTAATGACAAACTTCCATCTACTCAGAGATGTCACCAAAACATTACATGTTAAATAAACTTTACCTAAAAAAAAAAAGAAGCACAGTGAAGTTAGATCTAATGAAAGATCTTTAGCCTCAATCAGGGAAAAGCTTCTGAGATTGATGTGGCAGGTATGCTTTCATTTTCTACTAGGCCTGAAACAAATCAGACTAATCATGATTGATCTATTATTAAATAATCGTCAACTTATTTAGTAATCCATTAATCGTTAACTGGAGAGTAGAAACCCTAAAACGTGCCTTTAACTGACAGAGCAATCCACTTTGGGCAGTAATTATACCAACATTGTTAAAAAAATATGTAAACATTTTTGCATTCAAAATAAAAATCTTTTTCATCTATTATTATGCTCTATCCAGCACCCCTCAAGTGGAAAAGCTGTAGGTTGACCTTGTTTAATTTTGCAAAAAGTCTTCTTTATGGTTGCTTTTGCAATCCGATAATTAATCGAAAAAATAAACAGATTAATCGATTTGTAAAATAATCGTTAGTTGCTGCCCTTAATTCTACATGTACACAGTTCGACAGCCCATATGTCTGAAAGGTTCAGGTTATCGTGAAAGCAAGAAATGCAGCGTTGAGGGATGGATTGATAAAAACAGATCAGATTCAGGAAGATGGACAATATTGGAAATACAAATTTGGATACTGGGACAAAGCCTAATTAATGTAGAGCACAAGGAACTTTATATGAACTTAAAACTTTGTCTGAACTTCTTTGGTATGATTTACTAGATCAATGCAGTTGCTGTGTACATTATATGAATAACAATCCCTCCAAGGCTAAAGTTTTGTAGCCTGACGTAGTCCTACTCAATTCTAGTCAGAATAAGAGTCTGATACTGCTCCATAGAGCTGTGATTATGGGGCGTTTCGAACGAACCAGGAAAAAAAATGCCTCTGCACTCAATTGGATAGACCTACAACCAATAAGAGCAACGGAGTGCGTGACGTATGTTAAGCGAGGCATAGTTGTTGTCAACAAAAATCAAAGCGTGCAGTTGCACGCCTAGAATAACTTCCCGACCTCAAACGTTGTGGGCGGGACTAAGTTCGGAATGGCACCCAGGCTAAAAGTTTTGAACCTTTATCTATCAAAACTATTCCTTTTACTATTCCTCAAACAACTTTTAATATGTCTTGAAATATATCAAGACATATTAAGTTGTTTTACTCAAACAACTATTAATATGTCTTGATATATATCACTGTGTGAGCAGGTAAAATCCTCATTAATGGCAGAATATTCATTAGAATTTTAGGAAAACTATTAAGTCTGCAGTGGCCAATATTGTGCAGGTCATCGTGTAACATTTGATATTTCCTTTAAAACGGTCTTATTTGAATTTTATAACACCCCAAGTGTATGTGTGAATTTACTTATAGCTATCAACTGATAAAAAAGGGCAACTCTGGGTTTCAGTTTTTCATTTTAAGCACTGAAAAGATATTTTTCAAGCTATTCCAAACAAATCAAATATTTCCAAATGTTAAAATCTTTAGTTTATGAGACATCTTGGAGTTCTAACTTTGTCCTGGTCTTTTTTAATGAAGGAGGTGGACTGGGAGGTGGAGTTGGCCTTTGTGATCGGACGAAGAGGAAAACACATCAAGGTGAGCCTCACGTTCCTGCCGACATGCTCCAGTAAAGCGTTTCCAGTTGAACCGCTTCCATTCTCGCCGTTATGCAGGAAGAAGATGCTCTCTCCTATGTGGCCGGGTTCACCGTGGCCAATGACGTGAGCGCTCGTGACTGGCAGATGAGGCGCAATGGGAAGCAGTGGCTGCTTTCTAAAACATTTGACAGTTTCTGCCCCCTCGGACCCGCTTTGGTAACTGCTGATGCTGTGAACGGTGAGCGGGGACGACGAGGATGGAGGCAATCTAGTGAATCATGCAATTAACTGTAATTTTGCTGTTTGCTGCATCACTGAGCTAACAAGCTCAAATCTGAGGAAAGCATGGTTCCCTGGATGTTACAAAAACACAAGATTAGTATGGAGATATACTGTGCATAATTTCTCACTGATTTAGCAGAAACTAGGCTCCAAAAATGAAGATACACATAAAGCAGTAATTATTTAGAAAAACTGAATTTGTCTCTCATTTCCATTTAGTTAAACACATAACATTTTTCAGAAATAACCTGTTATGACCAAATGTAAGAATCTGACACTAGTTTGTGCCTTCATGCGTGATTTAATAATTCATAAGATGGACAGATGAATAGTAAAATTGGTTCTATAAGCGTTTAGAAGCCAAGAAACACATTAACCTGAATAACTGCAAAAAACTTGGATCAGGTAGTTAAAACTCTCATACAGACCTCTGAACATTCATCAGAGAAGTAAAAAATAAGAGCCCCCGTCACACCTTACTGATTTAGCCAGTATATGCCTGACATCCCAGAATCTCCTAAAATGCTGGCAAAAAAAAAAAAGAAAGAAAAAGGAACAGGTTTGCAGTCGCAGCAGATTCAGTGTCACGTCTGCTAGGAGGGTTGTTGGTTGTTGATGTGGGCATGAACGCAGGGAGGATCCATCACACTCACCTTATCACTTCACCCTATGATGGCGATGAAGTCTGGAGGAGTACTGACGGTTTTTGTCCTGTGAACACTGCTAATACGCCATTATACCGTAGGTGTAAGTTAGAAACACATTCAGCGGTCGTCTGGAACATGTCATATACGTTGGAGATGAGTTCTTGATAAGTTAGGCATAAGTTATACACAAGTTACTCCGGGTTTGGATAAGCTAGACATCACGACTTAGAAGTAACTTACACTTAACGTATGTCAACCATCATATAACTTACCTGTAATTTGTGGCCCACTTGTCAGCATATGCTGACATATGTACTCGCCGTATGTGTGCCAGCATGTTTCAGCGTGCTCATAACTTATCCAACGTATGCCAGCGTTTTTTCCAGATGTTTTGTACGTCCGGCATATGCTGGCTAAATCGTCAAGATGTGACTGGGGCTTAACATTGGTTCAGCCTCTATTAGCAACATTTAACCTTGCAGTTAAAAACATCCTACAGAATAAAAATATCTGTGTGGAATTCACTTTAAAGGGAAAAGCCGTTTTTTTTTTTTTTTTTTTTTTTTTACATTGGCCTCTTGATTTTACGTTATTACATCATGTTCTACTCATCCATAGGAGTTTTGTCATTTGGAGCCTTTCTGACGATATTCCGTTAGGTTATATCCAAGTAATGTGTTCCTTTGGGACTTGAAGGCAAAACAAAAACTAAAGTGTTCATAATTTATCATTTATGTTACGCCAGCATTCATAACATGTAGGCGAATCACTGTCCCCCAGACATCCGCGGTTATATTTTTTATATTTATATGTTTTAAAAACAAAGTGTCGCGTGTATTACGTCAGGTGGTGGGAAATGCACCTTTAGCTTAAAATTATTTCCAGATTTCATTTGATATTTAATTTTCTAAAGCTTTCTTATGTTGTTTGGTTTATCACAACCCACTTTTAGTTTGTTACACAAGTTCTCATTACTAAGAATTTACAGCTTAATGCAGATATAAGAAGGGGAATGGACTCTGCACAACTCCACTACTTCCTGAACTTTACAGCTCTTTTTTTACCTGTCTTTCTCTACAGGATGAACTGATTAAGAAATGGTAAAGGCCGGTACTTGTATAACACTTTTTCAAATCATCTTCACTCTACATTCAGGCATTCACACAATCACAAAGACTCACACACTGATGGAGGCAAACTACATTGTAGCCACAGCAGCCGTGGGGCTGCGGTAAACTGGCTCACCAGGCCCCCTGACCACCATCAGTAGGTACGGTGGGTGAAGTCCCTTGCCCAAGGACACGACACTGAAAGCCAGAGCCAGGGCTTGACTTTATAGTGAACTCAGTTAACTGACCATTTAGACAGATGATCACTAGTTTTCGCTCCCCCTCATGGTGTCTGTGCCTTTTTTTTCCTCACCGCCAAAACAGATGCTTTGCAAGAACTCTCACAAAGCTTTCTGGGATATTTATTAGTGTTGCGCCGATAACATTTTTTTGGCCCCTATACCCGGTTGGGCAGTATCGGCCGATACCGATATCATCTGTTTGAAATAGATGTGTGTATATATATATGAAGAACTGCATACTACTTGGATGTAAAATAATTGCCATCATGGCTTTGTCAAGCTGCTGCCTACCTCTGTGAAGCAGGAAAGAGACTAATAAAAAGTAAATCCAGTATAACTTTTTATTACCTACCTGGAATGGGGGACAATTAGTTGAATACATTTTTGGCTCTCAAAATGGTATCGCTGCCCTATTTGTTGGTACTTGCCGACACTGATACCACCATTTTAGTGCTGGATTAGAGCCCTGCCCGATACTGATATCTGTGCAACACCATTTTATATATATATATGTGTTCATCTAGTGACCATGGATGATCACTACTTTTCAAGGTATATTGTGGGAAATTTTGAGTCCATACTTCACTCATTTAAAATGGCATATCCACTATATAATGCCTATGTAGGGGTTAGGGCAGGCGATCAGGCACAGCCATGGAGTTGTGCAAAGTTACTCAATTTTCAAATGGATTCATACTTTGGAAAATTTAGCAAGTCTGAACCTGAAAAAGTTTTTTGTGTTTGAAAACATATTCTTTGGTTTAGATGTATATAAATTATGCTTTATTATGATATGAGCATACGTTTTTGTAGCTATTGTTTTGCCAATTCATCAATTTCCTACTAGAAGGAATTACATTTTATATGTAATTATGACATGGTGCCCTTTTATGAGGCGATGAATATTGAATATCTACTTCAAATACTTCTAGGAGGATTATTACTTTGTGCATCATTTCTCTCCCAGATCCTCATAACTTGGGAATTCGCTGCCTGGTTAACGGGGACACTGTGCAGAGCAGCAACACCAGTCAGATGATCTTTAAGACGGCAGCCTTGATTGCTTGGGTCTCGCAGTAAGTCAGACTTGCATCCTCCATCCTTAGTCCCTAATTTACATAATACAGTCCCAGAGTTTAGTGTTTAGTCTCTGAGCTGAAATCACACACTCCAGCTGAAAGTGATCCAACATGACTGGAACGTTATATTCAAAACCAGCCAGCCAACTAATCTGATTTCTAAAGTTTTGGACAGTAAAGCCTTTCCTGGATTACTGAGGAAATGCCTGCTTTTGGCAACAAAACACATTTTATTGGCTCTTTTTAAAAATATGATTGGCTGTGCTTAATATTTTGAAAGTAAATGTTTCTAATCTTTTAGTTTTGTAACCATATATAGTTTTTTTTTATTAAATGCTACTGTAAGATTCTTGATTTTTGTTCTCTCTCACATTTCAGGATTGTCACACTAACTCCAGGAGATGTGTTCTTGACAGGGACTCCTCCAGGTGTGGGTGTCTTCAGGAACCCGCCCATCTTTCTTAAGGTGATTCATGAATGATGCATACATTTCAGAGGATTTCCTCTAAATGACTCAATGCTTTGAAAAGCAAAATCGGACCAGATCACTGAATGGGATAAATCTGAAAATCCACTAATTTTTCCCGTTCTGCATTTAAGCAATGTTCTTTAACTTTTAGCCGCATTCCTGCTCCAAGCCAACTGAATCCACTTCCCTCATCAGCTTCCATTCAATTCTGCAAAGGCCTGATAAAGTATTTATTTAACTCAGGTGTGTTGGAGAAGGGATGCATCTAGAATTTTTTCTCCATGATTGGAACAGAGGCTCAATCCCAAACCGCTCCTCAACCACTAACCCTAAACTTTGAAGTGTCACACCCAATGAAGTCATACTTGCATCTGTTGAAGGGTCCTGGAAGGGGGTGGTTGGGGGGGTATAAATGAGACAGCTTCTTCCCTCTAACCAAAAAGGAAAGCAGCCGTTGCTATGGCAACACAGTGATGCCCCCTTGTGCGTGGCTGTAGTTCTGTGGTGCAGGGTAGCATAAAATCAAACATTTGCCCCTTTTTTAAAGCAAATGTATATGGTCAGAAAAAAATATTTCAAAAATAACCTTCCCTTTTGGAATTATGTTTTTTTTTTTTTCTCCATATACCTAACTTGTAGCCTGACGTAGTCCGACTCAATTCTAGTCAGAATATGAGTCTGATACTGCTCCATAGAGCTGTGATTATGGGGCGTGTTTTGAACGAACCAGGAAAAAAAATGCCTCTGCACTCAATTGGATAGACCTACAACCAATAAGAGCAACGGAGTGCGTGACGTATGTTAAGCAATGCATAGTTGTTGTCCACAAAAATTAAAGCATGCAGTTTCACGCCTAGAATAAGAAGATGAGACTTGATCGCGTTTCTCTGTTCCTCTTTTAAAATTAATTTGCTGTCGATATCTTCTAGAACAGACCTAATAGCAGAATCTACTCACCCAAACTCTCCAGCGGCAGCCATTATTGTTGTCACCCAAGCGCGTTTTGGTCACGTGGTTGATAACGTTACTCTTGATCATCTGTCCATCATCGTATAAAGCCCGCCCTGACAATTTGATTGGATCGCCTGACAGTGGGCTTTAATACTCGCGCTACTATGGAGCAGAGCCAGACCGAACTTCCCCGAACTCAAACCTTGTGGGCGGGACTAAGTTCTGACTGGCACCCAGGCTACCTAACTTGATGAAGATGCAGCAAACCAGCAGAATTTACATATGGAGCAATGCGTTTCCTCCGCCATTAGGTTGCAGTTACACCCGCTGCCAAATTCCAGCGAGCCTGCACTTACTCGCTATTAAAGGGCTAGACAGTCCACTCGCCCTACCCATTACATGGTTTGGGATGGTACCTCATGTGGCGGACCCTCTGCGGGAGCGCGCAAATGGAGGGTTAGTGCTCAGGGTTAGTGTTTAGGGTTCGGTTTGGGCCTAAGATAGAAACTGCATCACACTCAGCCTTATTACAAAATTCAAAGCAAAAATAACCCAATTTATGAAACTCAAAAATAAGGACATGCAGGAATTTATCCCAGAAGTTACTCTGGATTGCCAATAACTGTTTTGGAAAATAGAGCCGAGTTGTGTTTGGAGGTTTAATAGAGCATATTTGGAGGTTAACCAATCAGGCTGGGATTGTTTAACCTCTCTCAAAGGGACAGTATTAACCAGTAAATAAGATAAAAAATTAATCTCACAGTATAAAAGGCTAAATTAAAAAAAAAGAGAAAGTGTAAACAGCTGTTCCAGTTCAGCTCTACTCTTCACTAAACAAAACACATCTGTCCTCATGTTTTTAATGAGGTCTTAGATCACAACAAACTTCTTTTAACACAGCGACTCATAGTCACCAGAGGAGACTTATAATTAGCACAAAGCCTGGATTTATCTGCTAGCATCAAACTTCATTCCTGTTAATAAATGGGCCAAATGAACTGAAAGAGTTCAGATTATGGTGTGGGAACAGATTCTGGCACAATACTGGCTGGTTAATTAGCAGAGCTTACACTCTGCAGCATGATTCAACTTCTGTTGGAAGCGCTCTCTGTTTTCTTTCCTTTCTTTTTTTCCATTCCCATTGGATTTGACCATTTTTGACCAAATCTCGAGGCAGACAAAAAGCTAATTAAGTAATAATATTAACAGGAGAGCATTCCTTAAAATAGAACTGCTGGCTTCAAAGCATCCAACATATGATGTACAGTCCCTTGCAGAAGTATTCAGACCTCAGTCCTTTCCAGTTCTCATTTTACAACAAAAAAACTCTTTATTGTGCCCAAGAAACTAGAAAATACATAGTTTAAAGCTGAAATAAATGTTTCCTGTTTTTTCCCCTAACAATTTGAGCATTGTAGCAGATATGCCTCCAGCCCTTTGAAGCTGATATATTGTGGAACCAAGTTTTTTGGCTTTATGTCAACTGACTTAAAGAGGATTTATTTATTTATTTTTTGCTCAATCTCAGTCAGATTCAACAGTATTCCAGATCTCATTTTATTACAACTTCCCAATGTGCTTTAAATCTAAACTGCTCCACTGGAGGTCTGAGTTTAGTGTTTCTGTTCAGTTGGAAGGTGAATAATCTGTGCCTCGGTTGCAAGTCATCTGCAACCTCTATCAAGCTACCTTCTAGACTTCATTCATCTTCATATAAGTTCCAAACACACTGTATCTTTTGAAGTTAAACGCCTCCAAACACAACGGAGCCACCACCATGCTTTATATAAGGGATGATGTGTTCAGCTATGAGGTCATAGTTTTTTCACCAAACAATTGGTTTTGCATGTTGGTAGAAAAAGGTCGACTTTGGTCTAATTTGTTCAGAACCTCTTATTTCTCCTGTTTCCAGTGTAGCACATAGGAGTTCTTATGCCTCTCTTTCAATAGCAGTGACCTGCCTCCTGGGGGCAGCTGTTTCTCAGAGCAAGCAGTGGTGCTGGGTAAAACACTTTACCTTCTAAAACAAATTCAAAACCACCACAACCTTATTTTTCTTCCGCTTGAATTATGAGCCCCCCTCCACCCCCAAGAGTGTGGTGCAGGTTGCCAAGTCAACAGAGAAGAGTATTCAGTCAACTGTAGATGACAAGTGAAGGCGATTCAGTCTCACCAAGTTGAAGGATGCCGAGGCTTCTTAGGAATGTTTTAGACCATTTCTGGTCCGCTTGTTTTGCTGGCAGACATGCTTCCAGGCTTCTGCTCTTTTTGCCGATCCATTAAGGCAACCCTGGGCGCACTCATATAATTGGCTTAGCAACCAGGAAGTAAACATGGGCTAACACACCTCATCGGAGTAGTTCTGGACCGTACCTACAGGTTTGAAAGGACAGGAACTTAATTTAGACATTGTTCATGGAGAGGACTGATCGTTTATATGAAGTGTTTCTTCCATCCTGGTTGACAATGAAAATCATTTTGGTAAATTTTACAGTAAATCTCTTAACTATGTTTTGTTTATTTGTTGCAAAAAAATGTTAGTGAAAAGTTCAAGGGGTATAAATATTTTTATATGGTACCTCAAATTAAAAACTTTGCATCAAAATTCCCCATAATCCGCATTTGGTTTTTGAAAAACAAGTTTTTCTTACAATAGCTCCTAAATCCAATGAAGCAGTAATTCAAAATGAGCTAAAGTCTATTTTTTTCCTTTCAGAAAGGGGATGTGGTTGAGTGCCAGATAGACCAGCTTGGCTCCATCATTAACAAGGTGATATAAACCAGCAGGAAACCAAGAAGATCCATCAACAGTTTCATATACTACCATTACCCCCCCCCCCCCCCCCCCCAACTCAAATAAACAAATACCTATCACAATGAGTTAATTGAACCTTCTGTTTCCATATATTTTATGCTACGGAGAGGGAAAATCTGATATTTTTACTATTATATTAAACTATGTATTTAGCGTCTCAACCCACTGACTCAACATCTGTTAAAGTATCCATCAGTTGCCTCTTACTCATGATGTACAGCAAAAACTGGAAACCTCTCGGCTAACTCAGAGAAAACTATGGTTTGCATATATAGATGACTTATGTGAAAACTTCCCTAAAAAAAGGAAGATTGCACAAAGTATAATACAATATAAAAATGCATTTTACCTAAAGGAATATCCTAATCAATATTAAGAATTTTGTCTCTGCTGGTTTAATTTCCCTTCAGCTCAAATCACAGAAGCCCTCTTTAATTACCACCCAAAGACAGCTTCGGGGAAACTCCAGTAATAAATGTCTTTGGATGTTTTTTGTTTTTTAGGAGGAACATCTGACTGAAGACACATTTGGTATAAGAATAATTAGATCTCATGTTTTCATATGATAAAGTCATGGCTATCAAATAAACATAAAATTAAGACATATCAAAGGAAACTGAAGAGCAGATAGATTGGTACAAACAATACATTTATGAACATAATTGTTTCCACTGGTGTAAAACCTTTAAATATTGCCTTTTTATAACTGCAGATTAAACATTTATGGTTTATTTCGGATTTCTTTTTTCTATCAGCTCTTGCTGCTTTCATACCATTATTAATAATTGGTTTTATTATCTTTGGCTTTGAGCAGCTCTTCCAGTTCTTTTATAGTGGTTTAAACAGGGAAAAGAAAAGTTCTTCCAACAATTTCTTTTTGTACTCTTAGCTGAAATATTAAGATATTTCTTCCATTTTAAAACTATCAACTTTCATTTCTAGAACTATGGAGACTATAGTGATGGTCAGACCTTTTAGCAGAGATAAAATTTAGTTTTTGTGGTTCTTAATTTTGCTTCTCAGCAAAAAGGCTATCAGCTTGATGACCAATAAGTCTATTTAAACAATATTTAAACTAGTGAAGCAATGTGTGCAAATAAGCTGGACAAAGTGTTTCCTTATATTAGCATTATAACTTGGAACTAACATGTCTCAAATTATCTGAAAAACGGAGAACATCACTGTGGGAGGCACAATAATAGTGTAGAGGGGTTTAAGATGTGCAAGAGTGTCTGCCAGGGGCAACTCCTCATCAGGAACTAGTTGTTGTGTTTTCACCAGGACCATTCAGCAGGTTGGTGTGAAACTTTCAGGCAACATCTTTGTAACAAGAAAGGTAAAAAAACAATAACTTTGGTGGAAGAAAAAAAGTCCAAGATTGATTGAAATAGGTTAAATGATAAACAGCACAGAATTTGCAAAATTACTGTTTAACATTCAGCATTTGAAAAAGGAAAGGCGAGCTCTACCATAAGCCCTTTGTACTGCCAACGGTGAAACAATTTGTTGACCAGCGTATATATCATCATAATCACAGAATAACTGGGGTAAATAAGTGGCAAAACATAAGATTTCCATTTAGGATCGGTGGTTTTTGAAGGGCATAGAGTGCATCACATCTCTCACAGGGGAGTTGGTCCTGGAAATTCCTGGAGACTCCTGCACATCTTAAAACCCACTGTCCACATGGAGATGAGATACAAACAGCTGTGTTTGGAGCCCCACCTCAAACCACCTCATCTCCTTCAAACTCTCATGGCCTTAGGATCACAATATACGGCACTCTTTGAAGCTTATATACACACAACTTTCCATTAATATGCTAACATGTATAAGAATAGTAATTATGCTGTACTTGCTAAGCGATTTATCAAGTCGGAGAACCCCAAAGCGCTTTACCCTACCTTCAGTCATTTATCCATTAACCATACAGACAGTTCCATCAGGCCATTTGACCACCAACAACAGGCAAGGCGGCTGACCTGTTCTGCCTTAGGACACAATGACTAGGACGGATTTAGGAAAAACCCTTTGAACTGTCGCCACCATTGTTGTCGCTGCCAGTATCTATGTGGGTGAGTGAGGGACTGTAAGACAAGTCTTTAAATAGCTCCTTGCCTTAATCTGTAAATACAATCTGCAAAAGAGGCCCTTTAAAAAGCAGCATCTACTCTTAGCAAAACTTGACTCTAGCTGTAGTTAGATGTGTTTTCGATACTCAGATCTGGCACTGGGTGGCAGTGAAGTCGCACAATCACTAAGACTTTGTTCCTGATTTAAGAGCGGAACAACATTTGCACTACCTCTGGACTGTAAAAATAGTCAGCTATACACAGTGAACATTAAAGGCTGCCAGATAAAACTCCAATCAGAGCGATGGATCGATCAGTCTCCCCATCCTGATGTCCAGAGTTCTGAGTCAGCATGAAGTGATCTAGATTCATGGGAGAGATCCCCAGAAAGAAAATGACTTGTTCAGAAATATCTGATATGCCCCCTCGATGAGTTCAGCCGGCTTTTGCATGACTTGAATTTGGGATGAACCAAGAACTAGTGTTTATTCACAGTTTGAATATTATCAGAAAAAACATTTTATAAACAAGAAACAAAACTTCAACAGTTTCAATAACAGAATAAACATGTTTGAAGTAACTTTTTGGAGCATCTCTATTGCAGCTGATGACAGGAGCTTTGTAATCCTCTCCTACAGCTAAAAGAAAACTTAAAAGAATAAAATACGAAATGCAATTAAACCAAAGATACATTCTCTTAAACTCAAAGTGTGCCTTTTTTTAACAGAACAAAGGCTTTTCGTGACACGAACAAAGAGTGAGGTCAAATTTCTGCAGCAGAACAAAGCGAAGACAAGGCCTTGAGTCATTCTGCACACTTAACAACATTAATTGTAGAGGTACTGTGAGATGAAGCACTGCAGCTTCTGCCTGTTCTCTGACAACTGGAACAAAGGACTAACACCAAGGAAGATGCCTCCTGTCTCACGCATCTGCAGAAGGACCTGGAGAAAGAAAAAACAAAAACAATGAACATAAATATAATAATAAAGAGCTCTCCATATGCACTGCTTCAATGCTCTGCAGCTTTTGTTTTAACAGTAGAGGAGCTCTCCCTTTATCCCCCTCATCCTCACTGCATCTTGCACAGGGCTTTATTAAACAAAAATGATAAAAGCTAATAACGGAAAACAAATGAGAGGTGTTAAATAAAATGAGCAAAATAAATTTTGAGCAAGATCTAAAATAATGAGGCTAAAAGAGAGGGAGACATTTCTGGTTTTGTCCTTTAAACACCAGAGATGCAGCAGAAGACGTCTGACAGTAAAGACAAGGGTGACTGATAACCTCAATATTAAACTGAATAGTTGCCACGAGGGATCTTTCCAGATATATGGGTCAATGACGCTCTATTTTTTAAAGATGGAGCTTCCAAAGTAACAGTTGAGACACTGATTCAGAGAGACTGACTGCTTGAAGGGAAACCTGTGACATGTACAGATTTATATTTTCACACTTAAAAAGTCTGTCGTAAATGGGTGTTTTAATTCTTTAGGTTTCAGTGTTAAAGATGATGCAGATTAGTCAGCCTGGGATTTGGATTTCTCATCTTTATGTGCCGTTTTTAAAGTCTAAGCAGACGGGGACGGCAGATGCTCTTGTTCTCATCAGCAAAAGGAAGAAAAAAGAAAAAGAAAAAACAAATCAAAACATTTTCTCTCCTCCATCTTGAACTAGATGAGAAAACAACTTATAGAGCCTTTGAAAGCTGCTGCCTGATATTCCCTCACAACAAACATGCATAGTTTATCTGGGCCAATCAAAGTTCAGCTTAGTACTTTTTTTTCCTTTACATCAACATATCTCACTACCCACAGGAGAAGTGCCACTAGAGAAGTCCCTTAAAAATAGCTCATCTTACTTGTTTAACCTCAGTCAAGTATGCAGATTTTTTCCTTTGGTAAAATCAGCAATAACTCTTGGTAAAGTAAATGCCTTCATAACTAGAGCGAGACTCATCCGTCTTTATTTAGGAAAGCTATTTGCAAATCATATCACTAAAACCAAAAAGGTGGATAAATCCTGAAATCTTCTTTTTTGGAATTAGTCTTATAGGTTTAATCTGCTGAAACCGGTCGAGATTTGGCAGAGGTTGATGGGAGGGGAGTTAATGCAGTGGGAGAGGGTGGGAATGGTCAGAAATCCAGCAGGACTGGCAACTTGCCGATTTCAAGTCCAGGTTGAGAAGCATTCCTCTTATCTTTACGGCTTTCCTTTGGAAACATTCAACACTCCGAGGATGATGCTAACACTTAAGCTGCTCTCAGAACCAGTTTCAATATACTGTAATTGTTGCTTGGTTTTATGTCTTCTTTTTATTGTTTATGGCTGTTTTTAATGCATTGCTTACGTTCTGTGTACGAATAAGTTCTAATGATCACAATCACCTTTTTGGAACTTATTGGAGGTAACAAATAAGCTTGTTTTTTTTTTGCCAGAGTAACAAAACCTGGATCACACAGTCTGAAAACATTAAACAACAGCTTCTTGGACCAAACACCTAAAGCTGGGACATTTCTTCAACATTCGGACTTCATTATCTCCAAGTCTCAGTTAGCCTCTGAGGTGCACCTATCCCAGAACAGCTCATTGGACAATACTGAGAAGGAGTCAGACACCATGAATGTGTTCAAGACGCCACTTATATGTTCAAGCAACAACCATCAGAACCTGATGACAACAGTTACATCTCAATGCAAGTTTTTATTGTGGCTTTTTAGAAATCTTCTGCAGGGAGTCTCAAAATGTTGCTACAGAGATGGAGCTGAAAATGGATGATCTTACAGCACAATGACAGCCTAGGATATATCCACACTTTAATATGAAAAAGATGTGTGTGCTCTGATAATAAGGCATTTGCAAAAATTTATTATCAGTTAGATGCCAGATAAATGAAGGAATCACAAGGTACCCATCACTATGTTACCTCAGTGTGATTATGAGGAAACCCCCCCAAAAAAAT